TACTCAAGATTTTTCCAATCTGTTTTATAACACGGTCCCACAGACGGCTAAGGCTCATTGGAAGGGGAAGAAACAAGAGGCCAAAGAGAAGAAATCCTTAAACCAGCTTCATAGCCAAACAAAAATCACCTACGTCTACATCTCCAGTGGTTCAAGCCTCTCTTTTCCTTTCCCTTTGTGTGCCAAGTCTAATCAAAGAATAGTTTAGATGTTGATGAGCTGAAGTCTATTACTTTTACTGGGGAATCAGACAAAGATTAAAAACTCCTGTTTATATTATACCCTCTGTATCCCACAGTTTAACAGTTGTCACTGTCATAGCTGTAATGGTCAATGCATCAAACAACTCTTTCCCCATAGCAGAAGAAAACCTCAGAGTCCCTGCATGGGAAGAACATAACGGGGATTATGGGATGGAAATGGGCCATGGAAGAATGCAGAGGCAGTAAGAGAGAGGAAGGACAGAGCTCCTCCATCAGCCAGGGAAGAGACTGGCACATCCTGGTGACCCAGCAAGAGGAAGTGTTGGATTCAGGAGTGCTAGAAATAGGAGGATAAAAGAGGTGTGCACACAGTGGGAGAGGCACACAGAACAGGAGGAGAACAGGGAATCCCCTGTGCATGCAATGCACTGCCAGAGGCATGTCCTGTGCACACAGAGCCTCTCAAACAAATTACAAAATAGACAACTCAAACTGACCTTCCCTGGTTCACTTCACATAACACCAAAGTGAGTGTGAAAGAATTCCAAAGAGGAGAGCTCAGTAAATATATACACATGAAAGCTGTCCTTGGAATGACCCATAAACTCACTGCTGGCACATCATTAAGGCAAAGGTCTAGAGCCATCATATCCCTAACAGCCAAAGGGTAGTTACTAAAATCCAGTGCTACACGGGAAATTGAGAATCTATAGAAAGACACCCCCAGACAGGTAAGGCCAAAGGCAACATTTCCTCTTTCGACCCATTGTCTGGTATCAAATGCAAATTCTCATTAGCTGGTTGGACTTGAAGCTGATATTTGCTAACAATTCACAATTTTTCACACAGATCTCCAAAAGATTATTTGGCAAAATAATCACCATGGGAGAGAGATCTTTATTATTAATGTAAACAGCTCACTTTCTCAAATTACCAGTTTTGCAAAAAGCATGGACTTGTGGGTTTTGACCCAAGAATGCAAAGTACACATTCATTTTGAACATACACATGATGGTATTAAGGGAGCTGCTGTGCACCACTTCTGAGTAAGCATGTGGCCAGTCAGGGTGACACTGTAAGACACAATAAAACTCTGAGCAAGCCTGAACTAAACACTACACTTTAGGGACTGATTTAATTCCACTGAAACCACTGATATTACAAACAGCTGACCTGGCTCTTAGCACAGTGACTGAGGGAATACCATGAAAAAAATTGCTTCTCCATTAATTCTGAAGCTTAAGATCACAGATGAGAATTTGAATTTTCAAGTAGGGTACAGGAAATCCACAGGATGAGAGGGAGTTCAGTGCAAGTTGTGACAGAGGCACAGTGCTCCCTATAAACAGTGCATCTCCATCTTATCTGTGGTGTGACCTCCAGTTATTTAACACTATAGACAATGGCATTCTGGTTTACACTTTCTCCTGCAAACCTGCATGTTCCACTCAGCCTGCCCCCTCTACACGACAAAGTTATGTGGAAAATGAAACTTTTGACTTCATTTTTTCAGTAGCACACCTGATTTTAAATTATCCATCATGACCGAAAAGGTTTTCTATAATTACAGTACTCCCATATGTGCAAACATAGACACACATTAATGTATCTGAGTCTCTGGGTTTTAGGCATAAAGTTTCTCATAGTCCAGAAGCTCCCAAAAGCTGTTACCATTGATTGGGCACAGGTGCTAAGAATAATTAAAGATATAAGGGATATCATTATTCAGCCATCAGTCAGTGGAAATCACATTAAAGCAGAGTCACTTTCCATTAGGCTTATTACATTACTGCCAGTAAGGCCACTGGTACATTTGATTTTCTACCATTATTGAAACAGCTTCTTCCTGGGTCACTCCCAATTTACAAATAACTGTAACTATTTCCAAGCATCACCTCCATTTCACATGTTTGGAGCTGCATTGTCTATTCCTGGGACAGCTGAAGCAGTCTTGGCCCTATGAGCCACTTGTGGATTTTCTTTGCCAGAGAAGCCACCATGTGGTCAACAGCTACTGCTGGAGCCTTCTGCTTGTAGCCACAGACTCTGGCCTCTCACATATCCAGCACACAGACTTGTTTGGGTATTTTCCACAGTTTGAGCAGATGGAGAGCTGCTGCTACACTGCACAAAGCTGATTTCCTTAGGAACAAGAAAAAAGTTTTCTGTTGGACCTATTCGACATTAGTGCATTTTTCTTTCTTGAAGTATTGTTCAAACACAGTTTATTCACAGAAACTAAGTAAGTGGTCCCAGCCATGTTCTACCTCTAAATATTACCAGAACAAGCAGAACCATATCTGAAGGAACCCCAAATAATTGCATTTTGTGCACAAAATCTGTTTTGTGAACCTACATTTTTTCATTACAGCAACATCATGAAAATTCTGATTAGGTACAGTAATCAGAAAAATCTTTGTCAACAGTATTGAGAGGCAGAAAGATAAGCTGTGGTTAGGATAATGGGCTTCTGGATTTAATTCCTGGCTTTGCTGTAGACTTTCTGCATGACCTTGGCTGGATGAGTGGGAACCATCCCAGGGAAGCCCAGTTTCTGCCCCCATGCCTGTCCCTAGCCAGCAGCCCCTCTGAAGCTCTAATCAGCTGTAAGCCACAGAGGAGCAGCTGACAAAACAAGCTTCCAAGGGTCTTGGTAGGCTTTGGGCTACAAGAAGGTGGAGCTTGAAGATGCTATTATTGTCCAGAGCCTATTTCCTCACCAAGGACATCAGATTACCCACCATGCAAGCATTCTCTTTCCTGGCAAATAAAATCCTATTTTGATCTCAAGGCTGCTCCTCCAGCTCATCCACACAATACTGCACCTTCAGTTTCGGTGCCCCATTTCTCACCCATCTTTTCCTTTTCCCAGTGACTGCCAGTAAATCGTCTTGTAGCATGTCCATTTTCTAAGTGGGCAGCTCCCTGTCACTGAGGCCCCAAAGGATCTCATATTATGATGCTATAAGCACAAAACAGCAAATGAAATATGATTATGCAAGCTGGCTTTCCACAGCCAACTGTCTAGCCATCCAAACGAAGCTACTGCCAGCTATTAATGATATTGTGGCTGGCTAAGATTGTCTGAGGATATTTAACAAGATGCCACTATGAAATTGGGGTGCAATTTTACAAGAACATTGTAGCTTCACATTCTCAAAACTGAAATCTTAAACCACAAAGAATTTAATAGTGTTGGTGCTGCATGTTATAAATCTCGAAGAGGACAGTTTAAAGGAACAATTTAAATGTAGCTGTCTACTCCTTATCCTAGTATTTTGAGGGCTATCCATCTATATATTTTCCCTTATCGAATGCGTTATCTAGCAAGCTCTTGCCAGTCTTTAAAAGTATAGTTAGTAACAAAATATAAAAAAAGTAAAGACAAATGCTTGAAACTACTTGAGAAATTATAAAAACATGGTAGATGCTACATTATAGAAATGTGCATGCTTGAAGCAGCACACCAGGAAATTGAAAACATTAGCCATTCACACAACAAACAATGAAGTAAGTCAAAAACCTACAATACTGAAACATCTTGGCATTTAGAGAGCTGACATCTGTTATCTCCAGTGGACTTTGGATTTCCTAGAAAGAGATCATCCATCCCATTGTCGAGAAAAAGTCACTCAAGAATGCACTTACAAGAGTTCATCTGATTTTATCATGTGGGTACAAAGCTCCCATATTATCTATCCCTACATTCATGGCAATTCTCTTTAAATATTTTTGCTTGGAAATAGAGAGGACAGAAAATCAAGAAATATGGCATTACAAGCAGACACCCAAATGGTGTGCGACAGCCAAAGGATGCATTTACTGGACAAAACATTAACTTGTACTGCAAACAGGAGACCTTTCTGGCGATTCAGACAGTGCAGCAAGAACGTACTTGGAGCACATGTTCTCCCAGAGCGATCCGGGCAGCCGCCTCGGGAGCGCAGCACGGAGGGAAGGCTGTGCAGCAGACACCAGAGCAGAGCAGACATTCGCACTGATGCCACAGACCTTCCCCGTTCGACATCTTTGCAGCTGAGCGAGATTTCCCTGCCCGGAGCAGCATCGTCACACTCCAGCGGCTCAGGATCACCCAGGCGGGGTCACCGGGGCAGCGCTGGGCCTGTACCCACCCTCCCTGGTCCCCCACAGGGTCCCGAACCCCCTCCGTGCCCGGGACAGGCTCTCAGCTCTGCGCTGCTGGGCGCGGAGCACCGCACCTGGACACGGGGCACCATCCCTGACACCAGACACCATTCCCGGACACCGGACACCATTCCCGGATACCGGACACAATCTCTGGATACAGGACACCACCCTGGCTCCAGGGCTCCATCCTTGGACACCATCCCCGCATACAGGACACAATCTCTGGATACAGGACACCACCCTGGCCCCAAATCTCCATCCCGGGATACAGGGTACCATCCTTGCATACAGGGCACTGCACCATGCCCAGACCCAGGTACCATCCTAGGACACAGGGTTCCATCCCCAGGACTCCATCCGCGGATACAGGGTACCATCCTTGGACACGGGGTACCATGCTTGGATACAGGGCTCCATCCCCGCATACAGGGCACCATCCTTGGATGCAGGGCACCATCCCCGGGCACACCCGCGGCTGCGAAGGGGCTCAGGCCTCGCTCCCACATGCCGCACCTCCAGCCCCCGCTCCCGGCCCCGGCTGCCCTGCGAGACGGGAGAGGAGGAGGAGGAGGACGACGAGAAGGAGAAGGAGAAGGAGGAGGAGCCGCCCCAGCAGCCGCGGCAGCCCCGGCCCGCCCGCCCGCCTACCTGATTTGGGATAGGTGACAATCCAGACGTCGCTGTCCCTCACCGGGAAATTGGCGATCTCCTCCATCTTCCCGCGGCAGAAGGGCGGCAGCCGCACCCCATTGTATTCGAAGTACTTGCTCTCGAACTCGCAGGGCGTGCTGGGGGTCTCGGCCTCGCTCTCCGCCATCCTCTTCCCTGCGGGCCGCGGGGGAGGCCGAGGTGCGCGGGCCGCGGGCGCTCCGCCGGCAGGGAGGGAGGGATGGAGGAAGGGAAGGGGAGGGGAGGGAAGGGGAGGGGAGGGAAGGG